GTAAACTATTTAATAAAATAAATATTTAATAAAACGAGGCTTTATTAAAAACATTTTTGGGGGGTCTGGAGTGATAGTACAGTGGGTGGGACATTTGCCTTGAATGCGGCCAACCCAGGCCAGATCCCCAGCATCCTATAAGGTGCCTTGAGCACTGCCAGGAGTAATTCCTGAGTGCAGAGCCAGGAGTAACCCCTGAGCATTGCCAGGTGTAGCCCCACAACAAAAATTATTTTTTTCAGTTTTTATTTTGATGTGTGTGTATGAGAGAGAGAGGGAGGGAGAGAGAGAGAGAGAGAGAGAGAGAGAGAGAGAGAGAGAGAAAGCCACACCCAGCTCTGTGCTCAGGGATCACTCCTGGCGGGATCAGGGACTATATGGGAGCCTGAGAATCAAACTGGGTTGACCACATGCAAGACCAAGTGCCCTACCTGCTATACTGTCTCTCTGACCCCAAATTTGTTTTGTTTTTGTGTCACACACTGCAATACTGAGGGCTTACTCCTAGCTCTCCACTCAGGGATCATTCCTGGTGGACTTGGGGGACCATATGGGAAGCTGGGGATTGAACCTGGGTTGTCCATGTGCAAGGCAAGTGCCTTCCCTGCTGTATAATCTCTCCAGTCCCTCAAGCATTTATTTATTTATTTTAATATTAAATTTTTATTTTATTGAATCACCATGACATAGAGCATTACAAAGCGGTTTATGATTGGGTTTCAGTCATACAATGTTCCAACACCCATCCCTTCACCAGTGTAATTTCCCAGCACCAATGTCCCCAGCTTCCCTCCCACTTCCCCAAACCACCATGGCCAGGGAAAGCATTTATTTATTTATTTTTTATTAGTGAAACACCATGAGGTACAGTTATAGACTTACAAATTTTTGTGCTTGGGTTTCAGTTATCCAATGATCAAGTACCCATCCCTCCACCAGCGCCCATCCTCCACCACCACGGGTCCCAGCATCCCTCCCACCCCCATCCCCCCCTCCCACCCTGCCGCTGTGGCAGGGCATTCCCTTTTAATTTTTTAAAGGTAGCAAGTCGGTTCAACAGAAGCGAAGCACTCGTCTTGCACGGGACCCTGACAGTTCAGGCCCTAGTTCAATCCTTGGCACCTCAGATGATCCTCTGAGCATCACCAGGGGTCACTCCTGAGCACAGAGCCAGGACACAGCCCTTGAGCATGTCTGAGTCTAGCCCTCAAAGCCATCCCCTACACCAAATTTAAAGGTCGTAAATTTAAAGGTCGTAAGTAAAGGAAGCAAGTCCCAGATAGGATCAAGTAAAGGTTTACGTAAGGAAAAGAGAAAGTAGCAGACACTCCTGGAAGTATTCCCCAAGGGGAACACCGACTCTGTCTTTGCTCTTTGGATGGTTTTTATGGTGTTGGACATCTGCCTTACCTGTTCTCTCCCTGCCTCCTCCCAAATGCCTGGGTCCAGAGGTCATGATCATATTGGCCATTTTTTTTATTAATTACTTTATTTATTTTGAATACCCATCCCTCCACCAGTGACCATTTCCCACCACTGCAGATCCCAGTATCCCTCCCACCCCACCCCCCCCAACCCACCCTGTCTCTGTGGCAGGGCATTCCCTTTTGTCCTCTCTCTCCTATTGGGTGTTGTGGTAAGAGTTAAGAGTTGTATAAGAGTTAAGCCTGATTTTCAGGGAGAAACGTTGGATGATTTACTTTCCATTGATCACTTTGTATATAGGGAGATGTCATGTGGCCACATAAGCGGCCTCATGGTTTGGAGGAAAAGTCCTGGTTCCCACATGCCCGAGCTATGCTTGTGGAGGCTCATGGTCACTGGGGTTCCATCTGGAGGAGGCGGGATGCGGCACCTACCCCATCTAGGACTTCCTGGTGATCTCGGCTCTTTTTGGGACCTGGTGCATTCTCCGGGAGCTGTGGAGCCCCCCCCCAACCCGCCCCGCGGCCTTTCTCCTCTGCAGCTGTGTGCTGTAAAGATGGCGCTGGGAGGGGGGGATACTGCAAATTGTCCTTGCACTGGTGGTCGTGATTGAGCATCTTAAATAATGAGCTTGAGTTTGCTCTGCAGCCACTTAAGGATGACTGGCAGGGAGGGGTCTTGCGGGGGTGGGGGGTGGGGAGTGGGGGGTTGGGGAGGGAGGGGCAGGGGGAGGAAGTGGTGAGGGTAGGGGGACACACACATAAACCAGATGGAATTTCCTTCTCATTTAGTAAATTCGGCCTTGGCATTGCTCTGTCCGACATTTGGTTCAATCGCTTAGGACCTACCCCACTTGCTCCCTGTCTGTCTCTCTACTCCCTCAGCCATTTATGATACATACTTCGAATATTTTATTCCAAATCTTGGGTTCTTTCCTGGCCTTTGACTTTATTACTGGGCTGGGGGTGGGGTGGGCGGGAGTTTCCCACGTGTGTTTAGGGGGTCGGGGTGGGAGGGTTGACCAGTCAATGCACGTGTTTGTGGCTACGCTACTTACAGCCATGCTTGATGCTTGGGGTCTGTGTAGTGTGGGGACCAGGCATGTGCCTTAACCCTGGGACTGTCTGCCTTCCCTTTAAATGTCTTCTTTTGTGTGGGGGGGTGGGGGTGGGGGGCGCAGTTGGTGCTGTCAGGACTTGCTCCTGGCTCTGCACTCAGAAATTACTTCTGTCAGTGCTCGGCGGACCATATGGGATGCCAGGGATCGAATCCCGGTCAGCCACATGTAAGGCAAGTGCCCTCCTGGTTGTATTATCACTCTCTGCCCATATCTTTTTTATTTTTAATTTTGGGAGGGTTTGAGCCACACCCAGCGATACTCCGGGGTCAGGGGTTACTCTGGTTCTGCACTCAGGAATCACTCCTGGTTGTGCCTGGGGGACTATCTGGGATGCCGGGGATGGAACTGTACCCTACCATCTGCACTCTCTCTCCAGCTGCCATCACCCCATTGTCTTAAACCCAGCTGTAACAGAGAGGGACTTGTTTAAAGTGACCTTCAGGGCGTGAAGGTCTTTTCAGGAACAGAGAACAAGTCAGTAAATATTAGGAAATTTCTCCTGTTGCCCTTTTCGGGAAATTCCAAGGGTTTGGGAGCAGTGAGCCAGGAAGCTTGGAAGACAACCAATGATAGGTGAGGTCATCTGAATGACCTCTCTACTCTGTTTTATAAAAGACTACACAATTGCAATGAGTGACCTAACTGCATTTATTTTAGGGGGGCACACCCAGCAATGCTTAGGGGCTACTCTCTGGTTCAGTGCTCAAGGTCGCTCCCAGTAGTGTTCAGGGCACCATGTGGTGCTGGGGATTTAAACTGGGGTCTGCGGCATGCAAGGCAAACCTCGATACACTTTGGCACTTTATTTTTTTTTTTGCTTTTTGGGTCACACTCAGCTATGCACAGGGGTTACTCCTGGCTCTGCATTCAGGAATTACTCCTGGCGGTACTTGGGGGGACCATATGGGATGCTGGGAATCGAACCCGGGTTGGCTGCATGTGAGACAAATGCCCTCCCTGCTGTGCTATGGCTTCGGCCCCCACTCTGACACATTGAGCTAACTCCCTGACCCTAAATATTTTTGGTTTTGGGGCCACACCAGATGGTGCTCAGGGATTAGTCCTGGCTCTGTGCTCAGGGATCATTCCTGGAGGGGCTCAAGGGACCTTACGTGGTGTTGGGGATTGTGCCTCAGTCAGTCATAAGCAACGCAAGTGTCTTACCTCAGTAGTTTCGCTGTGACACACCTAAATATATATATATATGTTTTGTGTGTATATATATATATATATATATATATATTGCTTTTTGGGTCACACCCAGCAATGCACAGGGATTACTCCTGGTTCATGCACTCAGGAATTACTCCTGGCAGTGCTCGGGGGACCATATGGGATGCTGGGAATCGAACCCGGGTTGGCCATGTACAAGGCAAACGCCCTACCCGCTGTGCTATCTCTCCAGCCCCATCCAGCCCCATATTTTTTGTATATTTTTGGGCCATACTTGGCAGTGCTCAAGGCTTACTCCTGGTTCTGCACCCAGGGATCACTCCTGATGGGGCTTGGGGGACCATATGTGGTGCTGAGGATCAAACCCAGGTCAGCTACATGCAGGGCAAGCTATTACCCTCTGTACTATCTCACCAGCCTCAACATACATTCATGTTGATTACCCTTTAGCCAATTCTATATTTCTATAGTTTCCCATACCAAAAACTTTTTTGAGGCCACACCTCGAAGTGCTCAGAACTTATTTCTGGCTCTGTGCTCAGGATTGACCCTTGGTAGTGCTCAGGGGGACCCTCTATGGTACTGGGGATTCGGACTGGGTTGCCCACATGCAAGGCAAGCACCTTACCTGGGGTACTATCTCTCTGACCCCTTAATACCCTACCTTATTAGAGTTTCAACCTCCCGATGGAGTGAAATGTTAGATCAATCTGGAATTTCAGGATCGGCACTGTCCCATGGATCCTGTCTAGTCCCCATAGGAAGGTGACCTTGCCTGAGATAACTGACACTTTGCTGGAAACTTCCTTTCCCCACCCCTTGCTGCTATTAAAACCCTTTTTAGGAACTCCTTTCTATTTTCTAGGTAAGGATGCTGTCTAATTCATGAATCATTGAGCAAAGCTAATAAGCACTTTAAAACGCACTCAGTTGGGATCAGAGAGGTAGTGCAGAGGTTAACACACTTGCCTCATATCCTGCTATCTCTGGTTCAAATCCCTTGCACGACACTATGGCCCCCGAGCACCTGCAGGGGGCGCTCTTAAACACAGAGCCAGGAATGGCCCCTGAGCACTGCTGGGTGTAGTCCAAAACCTGCCCAGATACACTCAGTTGTGTGTGTGGGTCGGAAGGGTCATATAGGAGTGAGAGTGTTGGCCTTGTTTGCAGCGATCCTCTTTTGATCACCAGGAGGGAGGTCCGAGCACAGAGCTGAGAGCAGTTCCTAAGCAATCCTGGGTGTGATGTAAACACAACAAAACAGACTTACTGGGTTTTATTTTTCTTTTCTTTGTCTTTCTGATTTTTGAGCCACACCCAACTGTGCTCAGGACTTCCTCCTGGCCCTGCACTCAGTCATCACTCCTGGCAGAGTTTGGGGGACCGTATGTGGTATTGGGGATTGAACTCAGGTTGGTTGCGCCCAAGGCCAGTGCCCTACCCGTTATACTATCTCTCCGCCCCCTGTGATGGATGCCCTTAGACTTGTTTCAGGTGAAGTCTGTGGGAAGGGATTACAGGATAAGAATCAGTTTACGCCCAGTCTTCATGCATCAGTGAGTTTAATAAGGATTCTTAGTGGTCCTCAAATGGGCTGAGTGCTTTTCTTTCTTTCTTTCTTTCTTTCTTTCTTTCTTTCTTTCTTTCTTTTTTAATTTTTGCTTTTTTGGGTCATACCCGGCGATGCTCAGGGCTGACTCCTGACTCTGCACTCAGGAATTATTCCTGGTGGTGCTCGGGGGACCCCATGGGAAGTTGGGGATAGAACTGGGGTTGGCCGCATGCCAGGTAAACGCCCTCCCTGCTGTGCTGTCGCTCTGGTCCCGAGGAGTTTCTCTTTGACACACGCTCTTGCCAGTTCCCACCCGGTGGGCTGAGGACTCAGTCTTCCTCCTCACCCATCTCTTTCTTGATCCAGTCCACGTAGTTGAGTAACTTGGTGTAGAAGCCGTATCCCTTGCCACAGCCGATGCCCCAGGACACAATGCCCGTGGCTGTCCAGTGGTCACTGTCCTCGTCCTTCACGGCAAAGACCCCTCCACTGTCCCCCTGGCAGGCGTCCTGCTTCAGGGTCGGGTCCCCGGCACAGAACATGTTCTCAGAAAACACATCCTGCCTCCGGTTTGCCCGAAGCCACTTCTCACACGACTCCCTCTTGGCCACAGGAAGGTGGACGAACTTGAGATCGGGGGAAATTCTGTTCCTCATCACCCCAAACCCACTGACGTAGCCCATGAGACCCACGTCGTACAAAGTCTCGTTGTTGGGGAGACAGATGGGGAGGAGGTTAGGGCCGAGGGTGACGCTGTTCTCCAGCTCCAATAGCGCGATGTCCCCCTCGAAACTGAAGGCGTCCTGCTGGACGTAGTCGGGGTGGATGATGACCCGGCGGACCGGGTGATGGGACAATTTCTCAATTTCTTCTATGGTCACGTGGCCCAGGAACACGGTCACGGTCTTGTCCGGGCTGTTGGGATCCTGGTCTTGGTCGCTGATGCTTCTGCCAATGTTGTCATGATTCTTGGGGTACAGGGTGTGCGCCGCCGTGAGGATCCAGCGGTCCCCCAGCAGTGCCCCACCCCCCCGCCCGTGGATGTTGGTGTAAGCCTGCCAGGGGAAGTTGCCCAGCTTGGCCCTGGCCCCTCCGATGATGCGCTGTCTCTGTTCGACGGGGTTGACGGGTTTCCCGCAAACTGGAGGAGAGAGAGAGAGGCGGGAAGGCGAGATGAAGCGGAGTCAACACCAGACACCTCCTCCCCACCCAGACTTGGAGGACTTCTTTCCCTGTCCCCTGCCCCCCACTTCCCCTGCTGGGCGGGCAGCTTCCTCTTCTTGTGCATTTCCTCCCGGGGGCTTTCCTGGACTGGTCTGGTCTTCAGTTCCCCATGGGCACTGTGAAAATGCTGCAATATCTGAACAGCAGCCAGCTCTGTTTTTGTTTTGTTTTGTTTTGTTTTTTCTTTTCTTTTCTTTTTGAGTCACACCCAGTGATGCTCAGGGGTTACTCCTGGCTCTGCACTCAGGAATTACTCCTGGCGCTCTTTGGGGGACCATATGGGATGCCAGGGATCGAACCTAGGTAGGCCACATGTAAGCCAAATGCCCTACCTGCTGTACCATCACTCTGGCCCCAGCATCCCTACCCCCAGGATGTCTTCCTCCTGGTCCCTGAGTCCTTGGGTCTGGGTTTGGCTTGGTTTGTTGTAGATCTTTGGAATCAGGGAGATTACTCGAGTGCTAGATTACATGCAATGTCCTGAGTTCAACACCCTCCCCGCTAAATCCCACATGCAGCCCTGCAGGACAGGTGCTCCCGAGATCTCTGCTGGCTGCACTCCCAGGCTCTGCCCTGTGTGACCTTGTGGTCCCGACACCGATGGACACCACATCTTCCTGCCTTAGTGTCAACTTCCTAGCCTGGTTGACTGAGGATGACCGGGAGCTGGCCGCCCAGATTTCCCGAGCACCACTGGGGCGGCAATAAAGTAACCAAAGGTAGAGTCTGTCCACTTGCTTGGTCTCCCCCCTGAGTTGCCCTTTCCTGGAAACCCCGAGGAGGACCCCAGAGGTCTGCACTCACCTGGCAAACACCGGGGAATCTTCTCTCCTGCTAACTTGTTCTTCCAACGACCCTGGGCTGTGCAGGTAAATGTCCCTGAGGAGAGAGGGCCATAGTCAGTTGGTGGTGGGAGAGGGGGTGGTGGGGGAGGGGGGCACGAAACCCAGGCTGCAGAGGCAGCAAGTGTGGAGTTGAACGGAGAGAGAGGAGAATCAGTCACCATGGACGAAGGTCATGGAGAAAGGTTGAGAGGTGCAAGGATGGAATATCAACCAAGCTGAGTCTTGAGGAAGCACTGAGTTCTGATGTTAGGTGAGAAACTGGAATCCTGAACTGAATTTCTGAGCAATCTACTTTTTTTTGTTTGTTTGTTTTTTGCAGTGTCAGTGTGAAACCCAGGTCTCATGCTTACAAGATCTATCTGCATCTTTGTGGTGGGATTGTAGCGAAATCACGGGAGGTACATTTTCAGATTTTCTGACCATGTGCAGTGCTGTCTGCTAAGTACTTTATCCATACTGTCACATATAAGAGCTGCCATGACAGTCGGGTGTGACTATTTTCCATATTTAATAGATGAAGGAGGGCTGGAGCGATAGCACAGCGGTAGGGCATTTGCCTTGCACGCAGCCAACATGGCCGACCCGAGTTCGATTCCTCCGCCCCTCTCGAAGAGCCCGGCAAGCTACCGAGAGTATCTCGCCCGCAGGGCAGAGCCTGGCAAGCTCCCCGTGACGTATTCGATATGCCAAACACAGTAACAACAAGTCTCACGATGGAGACGTTACTGGGCCCGCTCGAGCAAATCGATGAACAACGGGAAGACCGTGACCGTGACCGTGAATAGATGAAGAAACTGAATTGAAATAGTTTTCACAGGGTCGGTCACATAACTTTTAAGTGTCACAACCAACAGCAAAAGGAGGGATGTCTGACTTGAGGGCCCAGTTCTTAAATCATACCCAACAGAACCTACCCCAAATTCCCTCCACCACTTCGGGGGTATCTTCCAAGTCTACAAAGCATTCTGTTTCTTTTTGTTTTAACAAAGAAGATTTCAAAGATAATCCCAGTTAAGTTTGAGAGGTGCTAAGTGAACCTAAACACAAACAGAACATTACGGGGTCATGCGTGGAGTGTACTCAGGAAATCCCACTAAATGCAGCTACCTCTGCATTCTGCTGATGAGGGTGGCAGGTCGGCTGGTGTTGCTGGTGGTGGTGCCACTACTGATATGGTGCTAATGGTAATAATGGTAAAGGACGTGGGGTTGGAGCAATAGCACAGCAGGTAGGGCATTTGCCTTGCACGCGGCCGACCTGGGTTCGATTCCCAGCATCCCATATGGCCCCCTGAGCACCGCCAGGGGTAATTTTGAGCGCAGAGCCAGGAGTGACCCCGGTGCATTGCCGGGTGTGACCCAAAAAGCAATAATAATAATAATAATAATGGTAAAGGAAGTGATGGTACTAGAGGTGGAAGTTGGTAATGATTATGGTAGATGTGACAGTGATGGTGGTTGTTGTGGTGGTGGTGGGGATAATGGTGTTGGCATCAGAATAGGGGTGAGGTGGTGGTCATGGCGGTGGTGGCGAGGTGATAAGGAGGGTGGGTGGTGTGATGGTGGTGGAGATGATGGTGATGAGGATGGTTGTGGTATGGTGGTGGTGGTGGTAGTGGTGATGAATGTGGTAATGGTGTGATGGTGGTGGAGATGATGGTGATGAGGATGGTGGAGGTGTGACGGTGGTGGTGGTGGTGGTTATAGTTGTGATGCTGATGGTGATACTGGTGATAGTAGTGGTTATCATTGTGATGATGGTACTGCTGGTGATATTGGTGCTGCGGTAATATCTGTGGTACTGGCAGTGACAATGGTGGCGCTACTGGTGGTAGGATGAACACAGAGGTGGCAGTGGTGGTGGTAACGAGAGCCGCAGAGCTGGTGGTAAAGTAAAGTAAAGTAAAGGCCCTCCCGTTGATCGTCGATTTGCTCGAGCGGGCCCAGTAACGTCTCCATTGGAGACTTTGTTGTTACTGTGTCTGGCATATCGAATACTCTCGGTAGCTTGCCGGGCTCTCCGAGAGGGGCGGAGGAATCGAACTCGGGTCGGCCATGTTGGCTGCGTGCAAGGCAGACGCCCTACCCGCTGTGGTAAGAAGGAACAAATTGCTGATGAAACTCGAATCTTTCTCTGTACCAGCTCACGCGCCCCTTCCGCGGCCCTGTCTCAGGCGTCCCTCAGCTCTGTGCTCTCGGTCCCTGCAGTCAGTGCCCTGGGCTCATGTCTTAATAAGATTCAGCTGGAAGAAATCTCAGAGAGGGAGAAGACCACCATCCGCACAGCGCCCCACCTCGCTCTGGCTCGCTGATGCCTTCTTTGACCTGCATCTTGTAATAGGGCTCATTGCAGCGGTACTGGATACCGGCCTGGTAGGTGTTCACCCCATTCGTGGTGGTGTAACTGAAGGCTCCGTTCAGCAGTGCTCGTGGCGGCCCGCAGTCCCTGACTAGGAGAGAACACAGGGAGATTCGGGCTGAGAATGCTGTGCTGGGGGCCTCAGTGGAGAGGAGCAGGCAGGAATGAACCCAAGGACTGGGCTGAGAACTTAGAGAGGAAAGGTCTGAGGGAGAGGAGGGGACGACATGCAGTGGATGGGAATTGAATGGCGTGATCGCTGGGTCTGGGTACAGACGTCCCCCTGGCTGAGATGACAGTTCCTAGGATGGATCAGGGGCTTTGTGTAGAGGTCCAGAGCCAGTCCAGAGCCCCCTCTCCCCTCTCAGCCTGGAAACCCAGCAGCAGGTACCCATGTGTGCAGTGACTTACTCTGGCATTTGGGCATGGCACGATGCCACGTGCCATCATCCTCGCAGACAGTTGTGAAGGATTTCAGCACCTGGTGCCCCTGTGTGAGCGGAGGAGAGCGGACCATCAGTACAAGCACGCCTTGCCTTCCCCAGAGGGGTGCCACAGCAGGGTTGATGCTCAGGGGTGACTCCTGGCTCTGCACTCAGGAATCACTCCTGGAGGTGCTCTGGGGACCATCTGGGATGCTAGGAATCAAACCTGAGTTGGCCACATGCAAGGCAAGTGCCCTACCCACGCACTATCGCTCCAGCCCCAGTATTTTAATTTTTAAAAAAATTTATTTAACTTTATTTTTATTTCCTGGTTTTTAAAACCACACCTGGAAGGACATACTCCTGATTCTGTGCTTGGGGATCACTCCTGGCAGTTCTCAAGATACCATAGGCAGTGCCAGGGTAAACTGGGCTCAGCTGGGTCAAGCAAGAGGCTTAATCCCTGTAGTATCTCTCCACCCCTCAGACCAGCATTTAATTTTTGTTTTCGTTGGGAATAGAGGCACACCCAGTGTTGCTCAGGGGTTACTACTGGCTCTGCACTCAGGAATTATTCCCGGTGATGCTTGGAGGACCATATAGGGTGCTGGGGATGGAACCTGAGTTGGCTGTGTGCAAGAAAATGCCCTCCTGATGTACTATCTCTAGCCCCCAGATCAGTATTTAAACAACTATGTCCAAAGCGCGGTCAGGTTTGAGGACTGATAGACCCAGCGACCCTTCTTGCTGAGTCTGAATCTGTTGGGGGTTGAACCGTTTGAATTCCTCCTCTAATGCTGGACGGGACCTGCCCCCTCCAGCCTGGCCCCTTACCTCCACGAGCTGGTAGCCTTCCTTGCAGGTGACAATGATGTAGTCGCGGAACTGGTACACAGACTGTGGGTTCTGGATGATGCTGAACTCATCCCGGGTCTTGGGCTGAGGGCACTTGATGACTGTTGTTGGGGTGGGGTGGGGGAACCGGAGGGCATGTTCATTTCAGGCCCACTTGTCCTTCTCTCTCCCTCCCTGACCCCTCCTTATTGCTGGCCAGTGAGCCCCCTCCAGACCCTCCTTACTTTCAGTGGTGTAGTGCACCTTCCAGCCCCGACTGTCCCCGGACTCATCCGTGAAGAACAGCAGGTCCACGGCGTTGCTGCTGGTATCCAGGTCGGGGGGCCGTTGTGTGCCACAAAACTCACCTATGTTCCTCCCGTTGGCATAGATCTGGTGGGGGGAGGAGGGACGGTCACCCTCCCATGGGGCCAGGGCAGCAGTGGTAGTGATGAATGGGCAGTCTGGTTTCTGCCTTGGGCTGGTGGAGGGGGAGAGGGGTCCCAGGACCCACGTGGCCTTGGGGAATTCATTCAGCCCATGGATGCCGGCCAGAAGTCAGGTGGCTTCGGATGGAAGTGGGTGACTCTGGACAAAAATTGGGTGGCCGTGGCCGGAAGTTGGGTGGCTTTGACCGGAAGTTGGGTGACTGGCCAAAAATTGGGTGGCCGTGGCCAGAAGTTGGGTGGCTTCAACCGGAAGTTGGGTGACTCTGGCCAAATGTTGGTTGGCTTCGACCGGAAGTTGGGTGGCTTTGACCGGAAGTTGGGTGACTGGCCAAAAGTTGGGTGGCTTCGACCGGAAGTCGGGTGGCTTTGACCGGAAGTTGGGTGACTCTGGCCAAAAATTGGGTGGCCGTGGCCGGAAGTCGGGTGGCCGTGGCCGGAAGCGGGGAGGGTTGGACGTGACACCCCTCCCCCCCACTGAGGAAGGCAGCAGGAGGGGACTGGTGTGGCCCTACCTGCAGCTGGTCATAGGGGCAGTGCACTTGCTGGTGGTCATCGATCTCGAAGGGCTCCAGGAACTTGAGGCGCAGGGTGAGGCCGCGCTCCACCCGGATGCTGTAGTTGCAGCGCAGGTCAGGCCCGTAGGGCTGGGGGTACTCCACGCTGGAGATGTAGCCCGACGCCTCTGTGTACAGCTGGCTGCCGCAGTCCACTGGGGGAGCAGAGCCCCAAGAGGGTCACGGGGCGGCCGCGCAGGCCCGCCAGCCCCGACTCGATGCCCACTTCGCCCACCCCATCCTCACCCTGGCAGGAGTGCCCGTCCGACTGGAGGGCATAGCCTGCACGGCAGGAGCAGAAGTAGCCTCCGACGTAGTTGTGGCAGAGCTGCTGGCACCGGGGCTGCGCCCCCTCCTCCAGAGAGTTGCTCTGTGCGGCACATTCGTCGAGGTCTGGAAGGTTCCAGAAGGCAGAGTTACATTCCTGGAGCGGTGCGGGGTGGGGGCGGGTGTGCTCTCAGAGCGGTGGTCTAGAGACCAAGTTGGCTCGGAGACCCTGTCACCTCTTTCGTTTGTTTGTTTGCGGGGAAGGGGGGGGGTCTACACACAGCAATGCTCAGAGGTTACTCTTGACTCTGCACTCATGTGCTCGGGGGACCATATGGGTGTCCGGGATCAAACCGGGGTCTGCCACGTGCAAGGCAAGCACCCTCCCCATTGTACTATCTCTCCAGTGCCCCCTCACTTCTGCACCTCTCCTGCTTCCTGGGAGCTTGGCCCCCCAGGGAATGGGGGGTGGGCGGGCTAGTTGGTGCCTCTGGTCCCTCCTTAGGGGGAGAAACTCCCTCCAGACAAGGAAGAGCCAGACTTGGGGCCCCTTTGGGATTCAGGAGGCCCCTTTTCTCCCCGGTCCTCAATCACGTGGACAGAGCCCAGCAGGGAGGCAGGGGGTGCTCACCCACAGCTTGGTAGTAGGCCAGGAAGCCCTTGTAGAATATGGTGGTGCCGTTCTCCTCGTTGGAGAAGTCCGTGTGGAAGGTGAGCAGCATCTTGTTGCCCTGAGACATGAACTCGGCCTGGCCGGGCGGATGGCCCCGAGGAGAGCCCTGCTGCCCGCAGAACCTGCCCAGGGTTTTCTTATCTGCAGAGAGCTGGTGGAGGAAGGACACAGGGTGGCAAGTGAGCTGTTGGGACACGTGCCCTGTGGAAGGGGCACTGACTGTGCACACGCACACGCACGCACGCGCACACACACACACACACACACACGTCCCCTTCTCCCCACTCTTCTGGGACTCTCCTCTGTCCTCCTGGCCAGCTCCTTGCATGGTATCCAGGGCCTGGTCTAGCTTGCTTCCTTTAGGTTCTGGCATAATTCAGACCTTCCATTAACCCTTTCCCTCCACATCCTAAGACCATTGTCCCCCCAAACCCTTCCTTCCTACATCCTGGACTAGAGGTCTCCTCTGTGTTCTGTCTGTTGGGGCTCCTTGCCTTAATCCTCCCACTGACATTTGGTTTTATCACCCCTGCTTGACCCTGTCCCCATACTCAGCTGATTGGAGGATTTCTGGGCACCAGAAGCCTGAGTATCATTTGTTCCCTTTTTTGTTTGTTTGTTTTTGTCTTGAGGTCACACCTGGTGATGCTCAGGGGTTCCTCCTGGCTCTGCACTCAGGAATTACTCCTGGCAGAGCTCAGGGGACCTATGGGATGCTGGGTATCAAACCCGGGTCAGTCACTTACAAAGAAAACTTCCTACCTGTTATACTATCGCTCCAGCCCTGTTATTGTTATTTTTTGTGAAGATTTGCTGCCTTCTCTTTTGAGGGACAGCACATTCAGCAATGCCCGGGGACCCTTTCATGCTGGGGACAGGATGGGCCGGGTATCGAACCCAGGTTGGCCACATGCCAGACCTTACCCGCTCAGACCCTGGAACCTTATTTATTTATTTTTTTAAATGTGTTTACTGTCTTTCTTTGGCAGGGGTGGAGAGAGGTGGGCCACACCTGGTGGTGCTCAGGGGCTATTCTGAGTCTGTGCTCAGACGTGACCTTAGGTGGTGCTGGGATTGAACTGGGGTTCACTCTACACAACCTTTAGTTCTTGTACTATTTCTGTGGCCCCCCGAATCCTGTCTCTATTGGAGTGGGCTGGAGATGGGGACAGTACAGGAGAGAAGGCACTGGCCTGGCATGCAGTCGCTTGGGTTCCTTCCCTGGCATGGTCCAGGGCTCACTCCTGAGCACAGATCCAGGAATAGGCCCTGAGTACCTCTGTGTGTGGACCAACCCCTGCTAAATGTGGGTTTCCAAGGTAGTCCTATCTGTTAGGAGGTGGGAAGGCTCTGCGTTAGTTCCCTGTGCTTCTCCTCCCCATGTTCCTCTGCTCCTGCTAATGGAGGGAGCCCTGTGACCTCCATAGAAACAGGGAGCCTGAGTGCCATGGTTCCCAAAGCCCCCCCATCCCCCAGTCGACAGAAGGTTTATCTGACTCTTGTATCTGGTGCATTTCCTGAGTATGGAGCTCATAACGTTCCTTTCTCTCCAGCCTACCTTAATTCTCTTTGAGGACCCATAAAACCAATGGACACCCTGTCCATGGCATCATTTGGCTCTCAGAGATTCATTAAGTCTTAGTTTTTCCATATGTGACTATCACACACACACACACACACACACACACACACACACACACCCCTAGTGATAGTCCTGAGGCTATTCCTAGCTCTGTACTTTATAGATTCTCCTGTTCTTGGGGGACCCCACAGTGCTAGGGATTGAATCCAGGATGCCCTGTGCAAAGTCCATACTCAGCCTGTTGAATCATCTCTCTGACCCTTATTATTTTGAAGTGTATGGGGGGCACACCTGGCAGTACTCAGGGGTAACTCCTGGCTTTGCTCTCAGGGATCACTTATGGTCAGCTCGGGGGAGCATATGGGATCTGGGACATGGATCCTGAGTAAGCCATGTGCAAGGCCAAGTGCCCTATCCACTGTGCTATCGCTCCAGCCTCTGTCTCTGGTTAATTTGTCACAATTTTAGAAATATTTATTGATTTACATTTGAACCTCCCCAGCAGGTCCTGGACCCGGGGACCACACCCCAGGACTTATTCTGGGCCAGCTGGGCTGAATGGTGTATGCTGGGGCCTGAAACTATAGGCCACTTGGGTTCTATGGTGCTGGGGGTCCCCAGGGCTGCACTGGACTGTGCCCTAGGCCATTGGTGCCAGGGACCTTGCATATGCCAGGCCTGTGCCCCAGCCCTTGCAACTCTCTCCCAGGCCCATCAGTTCCTCTTTCCTTTTTTTTTGGGGGGGGGGGGAACGCACCCAACGGTGTTCTGGGCGTACCCCTGACTCTGCACTCAGGGATCACTCCTGGTGGGCTGGTGGACTCCCAGGATTGTATGGGAGGTAGAGGGGATTGATTCCGAGTTGGCTGCATTGCAAGGCCAATGCCCTACCCACTGTACTATCATTCCGGCCCCAGACCCATTTGTTTCTCCAGGGCTGGTCTGCGTGCAAGAGTGGGGAGCGTAATTCAGGGAGGTGCAAACATGAGGCCTCGGGGTCCCGAGAGTCCCACTCGCCCTCTCTGTCCCACCTTGACGTAGTCGTAGAAGCAGCCTTCGGAGGGCTCCAGGTCGAAGAACCAGAAGACCAGCTTGACCCTGTACCCCTCGGGGACGGTGATGACCGTCGTGTTGTCCAGGTTGTTAGGGTAGGGCTTGGGGTACAGAGGTGAAGTCAGCTCCCCAAAGAGCTTTGGAGGGAGGGTGCTGGAGCCACCCACCCTGCCAAGCAGGACGGGCACCAGGAGGTATAAGAACCACCTGTCAAGAAAAAAGAGGGTGGACAGCGGGTAGGGAAGGGGACAAGGTGGTCACCCTGCTGGGTCATGTTCTCCTCTGCCTCCCTGGACCTCATGGAGATGTTCCAGAAGTGATGCCTAGTGTCTGCAGCTACTGCCAGGTGACCTTATGGGCAGTGCCCAGTGCAGAGGTCACCCCCAACCCCCAACCCCCTGGCCCCACCCGGCCCTTCTTTTCTCGGAATGGGGCTGGCCCTTGTTTGTGGCTCTTGGAAACGGCTCCGCAAGGGCTTCTGGGAAACACCGCCTATGGAGTCTGAGGTCACATCCAGAGAAGGTTCCTCCTGGGCAGAAGGGGACCCTCCCCCCCCATCTCACTGCTACCCTAGCTGGGGTGAGGAAGGGGGCGTGACTGCCATGTCAGAGGGTCTGGGCTAGCCCTCGAGTAGGCAAGGCCTGCGGGAGGGAAGGGGACCCTGTCTTAGCCCCCCAACACACATGGGCTGCCCCCCAGATGCAAGAGTCTCCCCTCCGGCTCCTCTGGCCCCTCCTGGCCCCTGTCATCTTACTCACATTTCTCAGTTCGGGGCTCCCCTGTCCCGCGACTTCATTCACCCTTGTGGAGGGACCGAGCTGCCGTGCAGAGGAGGGAAGGGGAGGGAGTGACCGTGGTGAGGAGGGGAGGAGGGGGACCATTCCCGGAGGAGTGTGGTGGAGAATGAACTATTTGCATAAACAGAACCAAAAAAAAAAAATCCACCCTTTCACTTTGACTTAGTTTTGGTTTTGAAATCGCTGCTGGTGGCGCCACCTGCTGGCCCCATGGGGAAGGTTTGAGTTTTCAGCGCTGGGGTGGGAGGGGTGGGGGGAGCCTTTGCTTCCAGACTTCTCCATTGCTAAGTCGAATGAGAATTCTCCGTGGGTCGCGGCCCTCCCGAGGGTTTGCTGTTGTGTTGGCAAGGCTCGCACCTAGAGGACAAGGGGGGCACTGGTGGAGGGGTGCGGAAGCTCTGGGGGTGGAGGTGGTGTTGGACAGTCCATCACGGTGCCTCCATAAATTGGGAAAAAAAGAGAAAGGACAGTGGGAATAATCATGCAGGGAGATTCTTCCTGCACAGCCAGAAGCCCTGTCCAGGATGACGTGTGGGGCAGAGGAGGGCAGCACAGGAGTGGACAGAGGAGAGGGGCTAGCCCCCGGGCGCCGTCCTGCCTCTCCGGATTGTCACACTGAGAACAGAGAATGGGACTTGCTGGGGCCGGAGACCCTGACCAAGTCAGGGGTCCCAGGTTACCTGCCTCCTCCCCACCTCACTGGAGCCTGCGCTTGTAAGGGGCTTCTCCAGAAGCCAGAGTGAGAGTACAGGTGTCCACCAAGGACAGGTTAGGCCTCTTTTTTCTTTTTTGCTTTTTGGGTCACACCCGGCAGTGCACAAGGGTTGCTTCTGGCTCTGCACTCAGGGATTACTCCTGACGGTGCGCAGGGGACCCTATGGGATGCTGGGACTCGAACCTGGGTCAGCCACGTGCAAGGCAAACGCCCTCCCTGCTGTGCTATCGCTCCAGCCCCCAGGCTGGGCCTCATCAGGTCACATTTAAGATCTAGTTATGGCGAAGAAGTTTTCCCCTTAAGGTAATGGAAGTCTCCCTCAATAGATTCATTTTTATTTTTTCGGGTTGCAATAGTCATTTATTTATTTCTTAATTTAATTTAATTTTTATAAGGTTGTTCACAGTGATTTATTACATGCAATATTCCAACACCAATCCCACCACCATTACACCTTCCATTCACCATTATTTTGAATTTTCCCAAGCACCACCCACACTTGCCCTCGTAGTAGGCCATAAATCATTTATTTTGTATTGCCTGCTATGAATAACTCTCTAAAAACATTATCAAAAAGAATTTCCTTAGAAGAAAGTGTGTGAGGATTGTTGTATCTTACCCTGGAGCCAATGAGCCCTTGTATAAGAGATTACTAACTTGTTGTTAAAGGTTGAGCCTTGTGTGCTAATATTTTTTGAGATTGACTGCCTTCTTCCTCACATTCTATCCAATGTGTTCTACTCCTGGTACATCAGTGGTATAGAGTATGAGATGGTATGCAACCTCAAATGTGGCCATGTGCTCCAAGAATTCTAAAATTTTAAATAAGGTGGTACAGTTGGAGTTAAGCGTTTAATTGGATGGTGACTTTGGGGTCTGAGGCATCTCTGCAGCTTGTTGACCTCTTCCGAGATTTATTTGTGAGTCTCTGGAACATAGTTGTTAATGAGCTCATATGGCGCCAGAGGCAATTCATGGGTGTGACTGCCAGGCTCCCGGAAGAATAGGGGGATGGGGGGAGGTCACCCATCCCCGACTCTATGAGACCCTGAAGATTTTGGTCACAAAACCCACATACCTGAGTTTTTCAACAGATTCACTCATCGATGAGGCTCGTCTGAGCCCATGGAGATCTGCCGTGAGCATAGCAGCGATTGGGTTCTGGAGGTTTTTGGCTGCCAGGGCTCTGTTTGGTCAGGTGGGGTTGGGGGGGACCCAACTGCCCCCATCCAGGGTGCCCCGGTCAATCTCTGTTTCTATGGGTAGAAATATGGAGCTAGAGGGCCAGAGACATAGTGGAGTGGGCAGGGCACTTGCCTTGCACGCAGCCGGCTCAGGTTCGATTCCTGACACCCGATATGGTCACCTGAACCCCTCCAGTCACAGAGCCAGGAGTAAGTCACTGAGTGTGTTTCCAGAAGTACCGCTGAGTACACCCCCAACAAAACATAGAAGGGAGCTAAAATAAAATTATATATTATAACTTAATAATAACAACATAAAAATAAAGTTATATATTACTTTTTATATATTACAGTTATATATTACTTTTTATATATTACAGTTATATATTACTTTTTTTTGGAGGTTGTGGGAGGCACACCCAGCTGTGCTCAGGCTTATTCCTACCCCTGTGCTCAGGGGTCAATCCTGGTACTCAGGGGACCTTATGGGGATATGAAACCTGGACTGGCCACATGCAAGGCACTTTATGCACTGTACTATTTTTGCAGCCTTTTTTTTTTTAAGATGGATATTGAGCCATACCCAGTGGTGCCCCGGGGTTATATTGGCTTTGTACCCAGGAGTGGCCCCTTGCTGTGCTCAGGGGGTCACGTCCAGTGCCAGGAATCAAACTGGGATTGACCTCTTGCAAGGCAAGGGCATTATTCACTATTCTATCTTTCTGGACCCTAACATATATATGTGTCCCCTCAAACATTTATTTGTCATTAACTCACATTAATTTTCTAACTAAAAACAGAAAACGAAGATAAGCTCACGAAATAAAACCAAGTAATTAAAGAGGGAAAAACCAAGGTGGCCAAAATGATACCACCTCAACCTCTAACATGAGTATTTTAAACTATTTTAATAATGCTTCTTTGTATTCTGTTTACGTCTGAACAACAGAAATAACCACCTCTCTCTGCAACTTTGAATCTGTTCTTGTGAAAATAAACATTACCTTTGACCGTCCAGCTACTTTGCCCCCGAGTGCTAGCAAACTGGTCACACTGCCCTGGTTTCTGATGGCCACTTTTTTTTATTGTGTCTGGACGCTTGTATTTTTGTGCGTGTGTCTTTTACTTTGAGGTATACATCGAGTCTTTCCTAAAACTGAAGGAGTCCCCTTTTCTCCGGTGGAGCACAGATCGGGAGGCCTAGCACCACTGTGGGGTGTTTGCAGAGGGCGGGGCGGGGGGATCTGCAGGAACAGGCAGCCCAGAGCTGGGTTCAGATTGTATCTGCAGGAGCTGGAATTGGCAGTCAAGTGAGAGCTGCAGAGCATGTGTGTGTGTGTGTGTACACGTGCACCCTGAAAATCTGTATCAGGCAGGGGTCGTAGCATTGCATAGTATGTCTGGTGCACAATGGCGCTCACAGCATTTACACTGCCGGCTGCAGGATTTGGGCATGTCCTCAGATCTCCCGGAGATCCAGTTTCATCATTGACAAATGTTGGCAACAACATCCTTTGCATGCTGGGTGTGATAAGGAATCAGTGGAAAGTGTCTTGAGGGGCTGGGGAGAGAGCTCAGCAGGTTGATTGAATACGTGCTTTTGTGCAAAAGACCTGGCTCAGAACCCCGGCACCTCATGGTTCCCCAAGGGCCACAAGGAGAGATTCCTGAACTCCGAACACTGAACTGGGACCAGCCCTGAACATGGCGGGGTGTGACTGGAGACCCCCTTCCCCATCCAACAGGGAAGGGAGGGAGAAGGGGAAGGGAAGAGAAAGGGAAGGGAAAGAGAAGAGGAAGGGGAAGAGGAGTGAAGGGGAGGGGAAGGAAAAGGAGGGAAAGAGAAGGGAGGGAAAGAGAAGGGAGGAGAAAGGAAGAGGAAGAGGAACAGATGGGGAAGCGGAAGGGGAGGGGAGAGGAGGGAAGGGAAGAAAGGGGAGGGAAAGGAGTAAAGTGATGGGAGCTGGAGCAATAGTACAGCGGGGAGAGTACTTGCCTGGTACTCTACCCGAGTTCTAGCCCCGGTATCCCATACGGTCCCCAGAGCACTGACAGGAGAAATTCCTGAGCGCAGAGCCAGGAGTAACCCCTGAATATCATTGGATTTGACCCAAAAACCAAACCAACCAACCAACCAACCAACAAACAAACAAAAAAATGTAAAGGAAAGAAAGTGAAAGAAAAGAAAAGAAAAGAAAAGAAAGGAAAGGAAAAGAAAAGAAAAGAAAAGAAAAAAGAAAAGAAAAGAAAAGAAAAGAAAAGGAGACAAGAAAAGAACACAGCTGCAAAATGCCTGGTATCCAGAAGACGTAAAACAAAACCTGAGCTATAGAAAAACTGCCTGTGGAAGTTGTGGTACTTGATGGAACCAGCAGTGACCACTCCCAGGTCCCCGCAGGGCTCTGGAATGTTCTGGACATGAAGTGTGATTCATACACACTCCTCACTCTGGAACTGGGGGATGAGAAGTTAACCCAGGAGAGCACAAGTAAAAGGAAGCTGGAAAAGGAGTCCCCTGAGCCAAAATGGGCTGGGGACCCAGGTGCAGTGCAGGAGCCAGGAGGAGGTGGGATGCTGGGGTGAGGGGGCATCATGCCATGCCGGCGAGCTGGGTCTTGACTGGAGGAGGGCTTCTCTTGCACAGGGTCCACTGTTTTGTTTGTTTTTGTTTTGTTTTGTTTGTTTTGCTTTTGGGGTCACACCCAGCGATTTTCAGGGGTTACTCCTGGCTCTGCACTCAGGAATTACTCCTGGTGGTGCTCGGGGGACCATATGGGATGCTGGGAATCGATCCAGGGTCAGACTAGTGCAAGGCAAATGCCCTCCCGTCTGTGCTATCGCTCCAGCCCCGGCTGTTTCGCGGGGAAGTGGGGGGCTGGGGTGGGAACACCGGGCAAGCTGCACTCCTGGCCCTGCACTCAGGGCTCACTCCGGCAGTGCTCTGGGAAGCCCAGTCAGGCACAGGCCAGGCAAGCATCCTGCCGCTGTACTAGTGGCCGGTCCCTCCCACCCCTCCCTCCTTCTTAGTCCTCACTCTCAGCCCTGGTGCTTTTAGGGTGTCCAGGGGGAGCTGGTCTCATCATTGCCAGTCCCAGATCACTCCTTCCCACTCATCACGCCCTTGATCCAGCCCACGTAGTTGAGCACTTTGGTGTAGAAACCATATCCCTGGCCACAGTCGACGCCCCAGGACACAACCCCCGTGGCCACCCACCGCTGGGCTTGCGCGTCCCAGACGACGAACGCGCCCCCCGCTGTCCCCCTGGCAGACACCCTGAGGCCGCTGCGGGTCCCCTGCACAGAACATGTTGTCGGAGAACACCTCGGGCCTCCGCCGCTCCTGGAGCCAGGCCTGGCAGGTCCCGCGCAGCACCACGGGCAGCCGGGACGCCTTGAGCCCGCTGGGCAGCCAGCCCGCGTCCACACCGAAGCCGCTGACCGCGCCCCACACGCCTGCGCCATAGAGGCGCTCGCTGTCCGGCAGGCAGACGGGCAGGAGGCTGGGGCCCAGGGCCACGGGCTCCTGCAGCTCCAGCAGCGCCACGTCCCCGTCGAAGTTGTGCGGCTCGCCGGGCCGGTAGTCGGGGTGGACACGCACGCGGCGCACCGGCCGGGGGCCCAGCCGCAGTAGCTCGGCCAGGACCGGGTGGCCCAGGAAGACGTCCACGCGCCGCTCCCGACCCAGGGACACGGCGTCCTTTGGGTATATGGCATGGGCGGCCGTGAGGACCCACCTGTCCCCCAGCAGTGCCCCGCCCCCGCGCCCGTGGATGCTGACCAGGGCCTGCCAGGGGAAGCTGCCCAGCTCGGCTTTCCAAGAACCGTGCGCCTCCTGGTTCTGGATCATGGGGGTGAGCGGACGGCCGCAGACTGCAGGCAGAGGAAGAGGGAGGGGATGGGTGGTCAGCTGATGGCCTGGACCATGAAAGCCTTCTAAGGGTCAGGGCGTGGCTAAGGGATAAAGGGCAGGGCTTGCACGCGGAAGACCTAGGGGGTAGGAGAGCCATTATGGGGGTGGAGAGGTGGAGGGGGCAAGGAAATAAGGACAGATTTTCTCTCCTGCCCTCTCCGTTTTTTTTTTTTTTTGTTTGTTTGTTTTTGTCTACATCTGGTGGTGCTCCGGGCTTACTCCTCGCTCTGGGCTCAGGGGTCACTCCTAGAGGTACTTGGGACCACATGGAATCTAACAAAACAAGCATCCCACCCACTGTACTATCTCCCTGTCTTTCCCCTCCATTGTTTAAGCCACTTCCTTTTTGCGAGGTGGCACCCAGCGGTGGGGATGGGGGGCACTGAACCCAGGAACCCATGCAAAGTGTTTCCTCCAGCCCTTCAATCCTTCTGGATGGCCCTAAAGCCAGTAATGCCCATTTAGGTGGTGGCAGACTTGATCTTTAACCTCTCTTGTCTCTGCTTTTCTGTGTCATTTTCTTATTTGGGGGAGCCTCTCCCGAGGTGTTGGTGCCACACCTGATGTTGGGGGCGGCATGCCAGGAAAAAGTTGGAGCCTTTGGCGCTAAAAATAATCAATTATTATTATTAAATGGAGCAGATAAGGCACTTCCCTTGCATGTGACCCATCCAGGTTTTATCCCAGGCATGCCTAACGGTCCCCCAAACACTGCCAGGAGAAATTTCCAAGTGCAGATCCAGGACTGACCCCTGGGCATTGCCTGCTGTGACCCCCAAAACACAGCAAAACAAAACAAAGAGCAGGGAGGCAGTTTGTCATGCACACGGTTGACCGGGGTCAATCCCCGACATTCCATATAATCTTTCTTTTTTTTCTTTCTTTTTGGGTCACACCCAGTGATGTTCAGGGGTTACTCCTGGCTCTTCACTCAGGAATTACCCCTGGTGGTGCTGGGGGACCATGTAGAATGCTGGGAATCGAACCCCAGGTTGGCCACGTGCAAGGCAAACGTCCTACCTGCTGTGCTATTGCTCCAATCCCCCCTATGGTCTCTTGAGCCCTTCCAGGAGTAATCTCTGAGTGCAGAGCCCAGAGGATGCCTTGAGCACCACTGAATGAGTCCCCAAACTAAAGCAACAGACAAACACAGAGGACTGTAGTGCCAGGTCATGTCCTGAACAGCCCAACCCACCAGGACAGAAAGGAGACCTGTGTTTGTTTTGTTTTGGAGGGCCATACCGCCAATGCTCAGGGCTTACTCCTGGCTCTGCACTCATGAATCACTCCTGGTGAAGCTCGCATAACCATATGGGATGCCGGGGATTGATCCGGGGTCGGCTGCATGTAAGGCAAACACCCTACCAAAACTCCTTTGCTATGGCTCTGGCCCTGGTCTGTCTTTGATAGGATGGAAGAGGAGGGCCTGGAAGTGGCACCTTGTGGCTTCTCTCCTCCAGCACTGCCAGGTGGGCCTGAGTACCACCAGCCTAAACACTGTTCCCCCTCAGGCTGAACTCTGCTGGAAGTGCTCCCAGACCACCAGGTTTGGCCCCTATACAACTTTCTGGCCTGGCACCTAGATTGAGAGATTTAGGGGAACTCCAGGGCCTGTCTAAGTTATCTTAGAAGCTTTCCTGCCAAGAGAGGGAGGGTTTGGGTGTGAGTATGAGAAAGGTGGATGAGTTTGGGGGTGACACACCCAGTGTGCTCCAAGGCTTTGCCTGTCTCTGTGATCCCCAGGGGGAACTTATTCAGTTAGGAGGATTAAAACCGGCCCTCTGGGGAGGGGCCCCGAATTCCAGCTCCTCTCTCTGCGCCCTCCTCTCTCCTTGCTCCTCCTCTTACCTCTTAGTGTTAGGGGGTGAGGGACACATGCTCCGTGGCCCTCTTTTCCTGGGCCTCCTGACTCCCTTTGTAAGGGGTTTCCTGTTCCCACGGGGATGTGCTCAGTGCAGGGGTGTCTGGGGAATGACAGGCCTCCTTCCCGACCCTCAGGACGCTACTCACCAGGCTCACAGCGAGGCACTTCCTCCACATCCTGCGGCCACTTCCAGGGGCTCCAGGCCATGCACGTGAGTGTCCCTGGGGAGTGCGATGAGGGGGAAGGGCATGGCAAGAGGCTTGGTATGGGCAGTGGGAGGCAAGGAATCCATGTCTGGGTGTGAGTGAGGCTTGAACTCACCTGCTGCTGCTGCCTGGTAATAGGGCTCCTGGCAGTGGCTCTGGGCCTGGGAGGACTCGGTATCAGGGCCAACAGGCCGACTATGGCTCATACCTATAGGAAAGCGAGGTGAGGAGCCATTCAGTGAGTTGCAACATCCTGGTTGGCAGCTGCATTTAGTTGGCCCTGCACAGTCTTTATTTTTTGTTTTTTTCTTTTTGGGTCACACCCAGCGATGCATAGGGGTTACTCCTGTCTCTTCACTCAGGAATTACTCCTGGCGGTGCTTGGGGGACAATATGGGATGCTGGGAATAGAACCTGGGTCAGCCCTGTGCAAGGCAAACGCCCTCCCCGCTGTGCTATCGCTCCAGCCCCCCTGCACAGTCTTTAAAAGAGACAATGGAGGGCTGGAGCGATAGAACAGCGGGGAGGGCATTTGCCTTGCACACGGCCAATCTGGGTTAAATTCTCAGCATCCTATATGGTCCCCTGAGCACTGCCAGGAGTAATTCCTGAGTGCAGAGCCAGGAATGACCCCTGAGCAATGCCGGGTGTGACCCCCAAAACTAAAAATTAAAAACAAAACAAAACATTTGCACTCTTTTTTTTTCTTTTTGGGTCACACCCGGCGATGCACAGGGGTTACTCCTGGCTCTGCACTTAGGAATTACTCCTGGCGGTGCTCCGGGGACCATATGGGATGCTGGGAATCAAACCCAGGTCAGCTGCATGCAAAGCAAACGCCCTACCCACTGTGCTATCTCTCCAGCCCCTGCACTCTTTTTTTTTCACTGTGTAGTCGCCAGTGTTAAAAAAAGAAAAATAGGAAAAAGCCGTGTTAAGTCTGGGGAAATGTTCATGCATGGTGAAGGGGAATAACAATTAGCACATCCTCTTTTGAGGGCAACTGAGGAAGAGCAAAATTAAAATGACTGGGCTAAGGATGTAGCTCAGAGGCAGAGCACTTACCTTGCATATATAAGGTCCTCGGTTCAATCTCTGGGACCACCTCCTTAGTATTTTTTTTTTCTTTTTGAGTCACATCTGGCAATGCTAAGGGGTTATTTCTGGCTGTGCACTCAGGAATTACTCCTGGAGGTGCTCGGGGGACCCTATGGGATCTGCCGTAGCACTGCACTGTCCTCTCATTGTTCATCGATTTGCTCAAGCGGGCCCAGTAACGTCTCCATTGTGAGACTTGTTGTTACTGTGTTTGACATATCGAATACATCATGGGGAGCTTGCCAGGCTTTGCTGTGCGGGCGAGATACTCTCGGTAGCATGCCAGGCTCTCCAAGAGGGGGTGGAGGAATCGAACCTGGGCTGCTGGGTCGGCCGCATGCAAGGCAAATGCCCTATCCGCTGGGCTCTCGCTCCAGCCGTGTGCAAGGCAAATGCCCTCCCCGCTGTGCTATTGCTCTGCCCCTCTAAAAATTTTGGGCTGGAGAAATAGTACCGAAGATAGGGCGCTTGCATTGCAACACAGGTGATCCAGGTTTGATCCCATAGGGTCCCCCAATCACCACCAGGAGTGATTCCTGAATGCAGAGCCAGGAGTAAGCCCTGAGCACTGCTGGGGGTGACCCCCAAACAAAAACGAGAATGAGTGAGTGAATAATGTGAATAAGTAAGAGAATACAGAGTAGTCTTTTTTAAGAATCTGATTGAATGCACCTTGATGCATTCAAGGAATGTCATTCAGTTGCTTAAAAAAAGGAGATAACATTGCGCACATGCGACAGGGCTGATCTTTAAGATATACCATGGAGTGAAAATGCCAAATATAGAACACTGTATAGTCACACACACACACACACACACACACACACA